CCCGTGCAGGAAGAGGTGGCTCAGGTTGGCCAGGTCCGCGAACAGGTCATCCTGGGAGGAGGGGTGGCGAACAGAGAGATCCTGAGACATCTGGGGAAGGAAGGGGAGCGCTGTGGGAAACAATTTGACTTTTCTTTTGCTTTTTAAATATACATTGATTGACTTCAGAGAGAAAGGGAGAGATAGAAACATCAATGATAAGAGACAATCATTGATCAGCTACCTCCTGCACGCCCCCTACTGGGGCTGGAGCCCGCAACCCGGGCGTGTGTCCCTGACCAGAATAGAACTCTGGACCCTTCAGTTCGCAGGCAGATGCTCTATCCACTGAGCCAAACCAGGTAGGGCCAACTTGGCTTTTCCTTTTGGAGTCCTGGGTTTGAATCCTGCCTCCTCTAACCTAGTTAGAGGTTACTGTGGAAAAGGTGATGCAATTGAGGCCAGTGGTTCTTAAACTTTAGGGACCATCAGAATCCCCGGGGATCCCGAAGCGCTGCCCTCAGAGTTTGTGATTTAGCAGGTGGAACCCGAGAATCTGCCTGTCTACAAGTTCCCAGGAGGTGCTGCCTCTGCTGGTCCGGGGACCACACTCGGAGAAGAAGATACTCATTCAGCGTGCAGATGGAGGAGCCTGACATCAAACCCTGGATCTATCATAGCTGGCTGTGCCACCTTGGGCAAGTCACAGTATCTCTGTGCCTCCGTTTCTTCATCTGTAAGGTGTGGAGATTAAATGAAGCAGCGCGTGTTAAGGTGGTTAGAACAAGGTTTCCATGTGGGAGGCATTCAAGGAGTTGGCCATTATCTTTAACTTGGCCAAGCCAGTAATCTCTCTAAGCCTGTTGCCTCATCGATGAAATGGGGATGAGTGTACCTCCTCATGGGCTTGTTCTGAGGATTAAAGAAGATGATCCATAAAGATCGGATGGCGAAGTGCTGGGCACAGTGCCTGGCACACCGGTATCCAGTCCAATGATGAAGCCCACAGGCTCAGGAGTCACAGCCCCTGGTGCCCATTCAGCTTGCCCTCTTCCCAGCTGCGTTACTTTGGGCAAGTTATTTAGCCTCTTACAGCCTCTTGTTTCCTCAGTCTGTATAGCTTGGAGAATACCCCCGTACTCAGAGTCTGGGGGAAGGGTAGATGAGATCATGCCGTAAGGACCTGGTGGGGACCTCCACCACCCTCGAAAAATGATGGTTATTACAATAGGGGCTCAGTTAGATAACTGAGGAGCTCTCCAGGGTCCAAGAGTCCTGCTATTAGGCTAAGATATTAAGAGGACCAGGTGTCAGCTCTCCCCTACCCCCAAAGCCAGCCAGGGAGAGGAAAGAAGGCTGCTGCCTGATGTCCTACATCACTGCCCCCTTAGAAGGGCTGTCCCACTTGTCTGGGGCTGGGCAGTGCCCAAATCAGGCCATGCTCATCTTGGACTGTGGTTCTGAATGAAGGGGGGTGTGGGCGTGGGGGAGCGGATATGCTCCATGGGTGGGAGGGCCCAGGGGCTGGATTCTGCATTTTAACCAGCTCACTAAGGGGATGATCAGCTCCAGGGTCCACCAGCCCAGCCCACTTTTTACAGAGAAGAGCACTGAGGTCCAGAGAGATGGAGAGTTTGCCAGAGAGGACCAGAGCCCCAGGACTGAGGCCCTCCCTCAGTGATGCAGGACATCCCTGTGGTCAGCGGGCCCAGGAGGTCTGGTTCTTAGGGACACAGGCGTCCTCTATGCTCAAGCCAGTGCACCCTGGGGGACTTGTTTCCCGACTGTGGCTCTCCCACCCTTCCCTGTCTGGGGGGATGACCCCCCTACCCCACCCAGGAGTCTGGTCAAAGGCTCTCAGGTGGGGGCAGGGCATTGACTCCCAGCCCACACCCACAGCCTCCACCTTCCTGTGCTCCTGCGTGTTCTCGCCCCCTCCCATCTGGCTTCCGCCCTCTCCGCTACAGGAACTGAGCCTGCCAAGAACCCTCCTCTTGGCCACATTGAGATCCGTCCCCCTCAACCTTCTCGGCTGCCTCTGACACCAGCATTCTCCACTCCCTGTGCCACCCCCATGCTCAGCTCAGGTCTCTGGCGGGCTCCCTGGACCTCTGCGGCCCAATTTAGCTTGGTACCCTTGTCCTCTTTCCGGTCCACCCTGAGAGTGGGCTCTGAGTCCCTTCTACTCAAACACCTAGCCAGGGTTTCTCTTTTTTATGGGTGTCATTAAGAGTGGGACACCCTCAGAGATACCTGTGAGAGGATTAGTGGGGGGGTGGGGTTGAGGAAGCACAGGTAATGGAGTTTGGCTTGGGAGGGTTAGGAAGAGGAAGAGAAGATCAAAGGTTCAGAGCCCCTAGGGAATTCAGGCGCCTTTGGCCCACAGCCCCGATTTTTGGGCTACAAGATTCTACCCTCCTCTCCTTCCCCCTTTTCCCTCTGCAAAAGTTCTGCCCCTTTCCTCTCTGAACCACAGCTTGGGGGTCCATTTCCCCTCCCCCCATCCAAGCTGTTGCCAACTCCCGCTGCCACTTCCTGGGCTGCAGCTCTCAAATCCAGTCCTCTCTCCACTGTTAAAACCTTCTCTGTGCATTAATAAGCTCTTGACTTTCACAGCCCTCGCCCTCCCCCACTACCCTCCCTATCGCCCCCTCCCTCTGGGCTGAGAGTGGCTGCTAAAGTCATCTTCTTCCATTTCCAAAACCACATTTCCCTCACCTCCCCCAGCCAGTTTACAGCTCTCCACATCCATATGGAATCTCAACGCAGCATCCCTGCCCCCCTTCTCCGGACAGCATCCTGTTCTTAACCTTGCCTCCTTCCAACCCTCCCAAGCTCCAGTCTTTGGCACCAGTGGCTGAGCTGTGTGACCTTGGGCAGCTCCAGGAACCTCTCTGAGTCTCAGTTTTGTTTTTTTTTAATCTGTGAAACGAGGGACTTGAAATAATTAATCATTAAGATCCATCCTCATCTGATATTTATGAGTGAGTGAATCCTGGAATGTACCTCCTTCATTCAGCAAAGCTGTATTGAGTGCCTCCTCTGTGCCAGCCCCCCCTCCCCCCCTCACAGAGATCACCAACCTATGCCTGGTGTCATTGTCATGGTCTGCGTCAGCACAGGCAAGCAGATGACTTACTGAGCTTTCACTATGGGCCAAGCTGTGTGTACACACGTCTCCTGTAGCAACCTGATCATCACAACCCTATGAAGCAGATGTTATCATCTCCCCTTTCAGAGATTAGGAAAGGGAGGCTGGGAGAGGGCAGTTCTACTATTTCTAATATGTAGTAGAATGTGGACATGAACTCTGGAGACAGGGTTCTGAACGGCTACACTTGAGTCAGACAGACCTGGGCCAATTCTAGGCTGAGCCCTTTGCTAGTAATTGGGTGACCTTGGGCTGATGCCTTAACTTCATTGAGCCTCAGTGTCCTCAGCTGTTAAATGGGGGGAAATGATGCTTATGTTAGGGGCAGAAATAGAATATTGGGGACTAGCTATAATTATGAGAAATATTAATCATGCTCTGTTAACCGTGATTGTTCTGTTCTGATTAGAGGAAGCACATTCTCACCTGGCTGACGGTTGTACACCCTGGGACATGGGAACTAACATTGGGATGAAGTCCATCCTCCTCTCCCAAGAGCTGCCTATAACCTCATGGCTGGAACAGTCTATTCCTGCAGGTGCCTACCCTTTACAATCCCCCCACCCCCTGTCCAAGCCCACATGGCCTGTAACCTGTAACCATTATACCGTGCCTACTTTCCCACGCCTGTAATTCTTACTTTCCCACATAATCTTTGCCCTTCTACCCAATATAAGCAGATGGCTTGTGGGGAGGGGAGCGCAGATTTTTGTGGATGACCTGCTGCTCTCCCATACTGCCAGCATTATTGGAATAGCTGCTCCTAAACGATTCAACCCTGTCTCTGCTTAATTGGCTCACGTAGTGACAGGTGGCCTGGACCCACTGGTTGTGTGGTTACACTTACTCTGAATGAGACACATTGCTGAGCCCACTTCAAGTAGCATCTCCTTGAACCCTCACAATAAACCCCTGAGGCACAGGGCATTTCCCCATGTTACAGATGGGGCCATTCAGGCTTAAAGCGGTGAAGTAACTTGCCCAAAGCCACAGACCAAACTGGAGGTGGGCTGCCATTCAGACTCAGATGTGCCTGAGTACAAAGACTGCTCTTATGCACCATGCAGGCTGCTGGAATGAGTGAAAGGTTCTGGTTCCATTCGAGTAGGAAATACACTCCAGGAGAGCAGAGAGATTGTTTTTTGTTCTCTCCTGAGTCCTTGGCACCCAGAACACTGCCTGGCATGCAGTAGGTACTCAATACACATCTATTGATGAATGAACTCACCTGGCACAGGACCTGGCACACAGAAGACAGTCTGTGAGAACCTCCAGCCCCACCCCATTTCCATTTCCACCTTCCTCATCATTAAAAGCTGTGGGTCCTCTTGCCTCCTCCAAAGCTCCCCTCTTGGGGGAGGCCCAGCCCTATCTTGGGGCACACCTGCATTCTGTGGACATCACCCCACCCACGTTTCCTCCTCCACCGGTGGCATCTCCCAGCCTAGTTCCTCCAGGCAGTTCACAGGCAGAGGCTGCTTCCTTCCTCCTTTCCTCCCTTCCTCCCTTCGTCCCTTCCTTCCTTTCTCTATAAAGAGCCTGGTGTGAAGATGCCATGCCATTCATGCCAGGGGTGCATAGAACTAACTTGCCATTTCGGAGTCAGTGGAGGATCAGGTTCTAATGACAGGATTTATTCAGCATTGAACTGTGTGCTGTATCTACACAACTCATTTACTCTGCACAGCCGTTCTTTGTGGAAAGGATGACTTTTATTATTTCCACTTTAAAGATGAGGACACAGGTTCAGAGAGGAGAGGCATCATGCCTTAAGTTAAAAAAGTCAGGAAACAACAGAGCAGGGATTCCAACTCAGGCCCTCTGACCCTAGCTGTCTCACTGTGAGCCACTGATAAATGCTGAGGAGGTCAGGTGTCAGTGGCAGCACCTGAGTGTGGCCCTGTGCTAACCCTATTGAGGTGGCCATGCTACAGATGAGGACATGGAGATGGGAAGATCCTTAATAATTTGTCCAAAGTCATATAGGAGCCAGGATTTGAACCTACATCTGGTAGACTCCAAGGTGAGAGCCTTCAAAAATGAGCCCATGCTGCTGTACTTCAGGGTACCACCCCCCTCCACCCAGACAGACCCTGGTGGAGAGTTCTGAGTGATGAAAATGGCCTGAAATGTCATCAGCCCACGCAGGTTCTCGTACCACCAGCTCTGCCTGGTTCGGTGGCCTCAGGAACTTCATTTCGTGTCCCTACTGTCCCTAATTGTCTCTATTGCCAGGCTTTTGTGAGGTTAAACGTGCTGCTGAGAACATGGGAGCCCCCAGTCATATCGGCGATGGTTTAAGAGACTTCATGTGAAGAGGCCTTATATCCACAAACTCTTGGGACCCTGGGCTTCAGTTTCCTCCTCTGTGGGGAGGTGTAAGCATCTCCTGACAGGGCTGTGGAAATGAGGTGAGGTGGCTGACCGTGCTTTGGACACTATGAGGTGCTGGGCAAATTTAGGAAGGAAAGAAAAGAGGGAGTTTTCTAGGATCCACCCATGGCCTGGGCATCACCCTTGAAGTTGACCCAGATCTCCAAGATGAGGTCCAAGATGGGCCATTTCACTGAGATCAATGTTAAATGAGGCTTGCCTCTTTTAAAATAGTATTTTAACAAGCATTTATATAGTGTGTATCACATGCCAAACACTATTCTAAGCGCTCTACAAATTATTCATGCACTTACACTTATGAAATCCCTAGGAGATGGGCTGGTGCTACCCCTAACTTACAAATGGAAAAACTGAGTCTCAGGGGGATTGAAAATGTCACACACTTATAAATGGCAGAGTTGATACCTATAGAGGCCTTAGCATAGCGCCCAGCACCCATAAAGGCCTCAGCATAGTGTGTCCACTAAGTGGTAGTGGGTACTACTATCATTATTGGTGCAATCATAATAACACGACATCTTTTTCCAACGTACTCTGTACAGCAGTCCCCCGCTCCCCTTCACGGTTTTGCTTTCCATGGTTTCAGTTACCTGCAGTTAACCATGGTCCAAAAATATTAAATAGGAAATTCCAGAAATAAACAATTGATAAGTTTTAAATTGTGTGCTGGTCTATTTAGCGTGGAGAAATCTCGAAGCCATCCCACCCAGATGTGAGTCATCCCTTTGCCCAGGGATGACGGGACTTCATGATGCATATGCTACCTGCCTGTTAGACACTTACTAGTAGTAGCCGCCTCAGTTGTCAGATCAAGTGCCATGGTCCCACAGTGCCTGTGTTTACGTCCCCCTATTTCACTTAATTATGGCCCCAAAGCCGTCCACGTAACTTTTATTACAGTATGTTGTTATACTTGTTCTATTTTATTATTAGTTATTATTGTTAATCTCTTTTTGTGCCTAGTTTATAAACTGACTGTATCATAGGTGTGTATGTACATAGTACATACAAGGTTCCGTACTGTCCGAGATTTCAGGCACCCATGGGGTCTTGGACCGGATCTCCCATAGATAAGAGGGGGGCTACCATGTTTCACTTCTGTCTCTCTCCACCACCTAGAGTGCTATCTCGGCGAAGGCAGGGGGTTTTGTCTGTTTTGCTAACTGCTGTGTTCTCAGCACCTTGCACATAGTGGGTGCACAATGCATGTTTGTTAAGTTATTATTGCCATTGTTACTATCTTTATCAGCATAAACCCTGACCTGATTTTCAAATCAGCACCAGCCCTCTGGGAGGAGGCATGCCTTCCATCTATGTGGGGGGAGGGAGGGTTTGGATATTCCAGCCCCCTTCCAGCCTGAGCCTGTGGAGCCCAGGGAGGGTGGTTTGGAGGGTGTGTTATTGCTTCCTGGGGAAATAGAATGGGAGGATTTGACTGTCAGACAGTCAGCTTAATAACAACAATAAACAATATTTAGATCAATAATAATAACAATAAATAGCAATTACTGTTATTCCTTCCGTTTTCAGAGCATCCATCTTCCAGCTACTTAACAGCTCTTTACCTTTTTTTTTCCCCCCTTCTTCCCTTTCAGTGAGACAGCAGGTTGGGGATGGGGATCTAGAAAGGGTAGGGTTTCCCCTTGTCCCATTAGCCAGTGTGCTGGAGAGAGGGGGGCCTTCTCTGGGACACCAGCGGCAGTGGGAGGGGGTGGGGTGGGGAGAAAGCAGCCACAGAGGCCTTCAGGCCTGGTGCCTGGGGAGAGACAGAGCCCCCGAAGGCGAAAACGAGGGGGAAAAGGAGAGATCACAGAGAGACACGCACATCAACCAGACATGGGGTGCGTGTGGAGTGGGCGTGTGAATGGAGACAGACAGAAGACCAGAGGACAGATGGGGAAGGCAAGTCAGTGAGAGAGGCAGAGAGGGGTAGACAGACAAGACAGGCAGAGGCAGAAGGGGACACACAGTGGGGGGTGGGGGGGGGAGTGGAGGATAAGGGAGTGAGAGAGAGGGGCAGCAAGGGAACCAAACAGGCATAGACAGACAGACAGACAGACCAAATGGAGAAAAGCCCCTGGAGAAAGTGAGAGGGACACACTTGGAAAAGGGGCAGACATGGAGAGGGATGCTGAGATGCTGAGGCAGGAAGGGCGGGCTGGGGAGAGCGGAGGGACACACACAGGGGCAGAGGAGAGAGCGAGGGGAAAGCAGGGGAGTGTGTGCAGGGGCCTGCGCATGGGTGGGTGGCTCACCTGGAGGTGGAGCAGGCTGTTCTCCTGGAGGTAGAGGTACTGCAGGCTGACCAGGCCGCGGAAGATGTTGGCGGGCAGGCTGCTGAGCTGGCAGCGGTACAGGTGCAGCGACTGCAGCCGCTCCAGGCCCTGGAAGGTGTCGGGCTCCAGGGAGCGCAGGTGCCGGTTGTCACCGAGGTCCAGCTCCTCCAGGGCCTGCAGGTGACGGAAGGTGCCCGGGTAGATGATGGAGAGGTTGTTGGAGAAGAGCCACAGCGTGAGCAGGTTGGGCCCGAAGGTGCCCGGCCGCAGCGTGCGGATGAGGTTGTTCTGGAGGAAGAGGCGCTGGGTGCTGGGCGGCAGGGACAGCGGCACGGAGGAGAAGTTGTTGGCCTGGCAGCTCACGGTGGGCGGGGACGAGTAGCAGGTACAGAGCATGGGGCAGCTGGGGGCCGCTGGGGGCAGGGCCAGGAGCAGCAGCAGCAGGCAGGCTGAGGCGGGACCTGTGGGGACAGGGGGCAGGCCTTTCTGGGCAGGCTGCAAGGGCAGGAGTGCCCGCCAGGGGCCTGCCCACCCACCCCTAATGGCCAGGAGCCTGGCTCCTGGGTGGGAGGGTTCTGGGTGCAAGAGGCCCCGGCCACTTCCACTTTTTGAGACCCCTGGTATATTAAAAAAATAAAAATAAATAAAGAAATGCCGGGAGGACACTGTGGAAAGCACTGCTATGCCGCAGGCTGTTTCAGAGTGGTGGTCTTTTCCGTTCTTGTTGTCACTACGGTGGGTTTGACTGTGTCAACTGTCAGGCCTCTGAACCTTCGTATGGAAAGTTGAGCCGATTGCTCTTTGTTGTGGGGGACAGCCCTATACGGTGTCCTATTTAGGGTGTTTAGCAGCATCCCTGTCCTCTACCCACTCGATGCCAGTAACACCTTCCCCCTGATTATGACAACCAAAATGTCTCCAGACATTACCAAATGTCTCCTGGGGAGCAGAATCGCCCCCATTTGAGACCGGTTGGGGCTAAATTGAGATCTCTTGCGAATCGAAGGCCGAGGGGAGGAAGAGTGGGCCTTGGACCCAGGTCCTATTTCCAGGGCTCCCCGGGGTTCAGAGACCCTGGGGAAGAACGAGGGGGGCATGACTGTATGTGATGCCTGGCGCTTGCGCGTGAATGCCTGTGTCTGAGCCCAGTGCACACTACACACAAAGCTGCACAGCCGGCGTGTTTGAGTGGCGTAGACATTATGGCTGTCCCGTGAGCTTCCTCCCATGGGGGACACACAGGCAGGGGTGGGGAACCCCATGCCGATGTGGTGCTCTAGCTCCTCAATTTGGGGCCTCACCATGAGCATCCCCGATCCCCCCTGCATGTGCTGGCTGTCCCCACGCGTGTGTGAGTGCCGGCCCCATGCGTGTGTAGGCTGGGTGTGATGTAATATTCAGTGACACAGCGCTGCCGTGCTATTCGTTCACACCACCTCCGCGTTTCTCGGCCTTTCGCACCCCTCCCCCGTGCGGCAGTTCACGATCACTTTCTCCTGAGTGTTTCAGAGCCAGTGGGGTGGAGGAGCATGTCTCTCACCCCTCATCAGAACCTGGCAGGGGTGGGATGTGGGAGCGGGTAGGGAACCTCAGTGGGTTTCAGCCGGGCTGAGATTTGGGGCTAGCATGGGAGATGTCAGAGCTGGGAAGGTTCTCCAGTCCATCTGGTTCAAGCTCTTGTTCTACTTTAGTCACAACTGGGGTTCAGAGAGGGCAAGCGACTTGCCCAAGGTCACACAGCAAAGTGGTTGGCGGGGCAAGGACCAGAAAGGAATCTCCTCATGCTTGGCCAGGGCACTTCCCTTCCTGGCAGAGTCACCCTCTGAGCTCGCTTCCCCAAGGACTTGACACCAGAGAAAGGCAAATCCTGCTCTGATCCCTTAATCCTACCCCTTATCCACAAGCTCGCAAGAGTGTGGGCCCTGAAGGCCGCCACCCTAGGGAGGACTGCTCTCCCCCGGCCTCTAGGGCTGACTGGTACCCTAGGAGAGACCGAGGGAAGGATGTGCAATCCGGAGCGCTGCAGAGTCAGGGGCCACTGTGTGGCACCAGGGTCTCTCCCAGCAGGAGGCTGAGCTCAGCAGCTTGGGGGAGCCAGCATCCCTCTCCCCACAGCTCCCTGGCCACCCCTTGCCCACATAAGGGGCTCCTCCCTTCTTTCCCCACCCCTCCCCCGTGTCCCCATGTCTCTCCCATTAAGCCCACCTCCCCAAGCATGAGCAGGGCCCATCCATGACAGCTGCTGCGTACAGTGACTCTGTTGCCAATTTCTGGGCATCGCCGCCATG